TTATCCTATACCAATTTGCATTTGGGTCAGGTAATAAATCACAGATTAATACCTTTGTGGTTCTGCTTTTCAATTTAACCCTGAGCTGCTCATAATAACTCAACATTACCTCTTTCCCAGTCGGGGGGCCTAAGCTTTTAGTACCTACGTGAACCATGACAACCGAATCCTTCCCCACCCACTCCAAGTCCCTCTCCAGCACAGAACAGATGTTGGGAAATACAGTCTTTGGGCACTTTGTTTTTGCTGCAGAGAACACATCTGTTCCCTGACCTATGCTATCTTCTATTAGTGCTACATTTCTCTTTTCAATCCCCACTTGAATGGTGCTCTGGACCAAAGAACTGTAGTCAGTTTATTCATCCTCATCTATATTGAGAGCAAAAGCCCTGTACTTACTTAACAAGGGCACTGGCTGAGGTTCCTCAAAAGTTAAATTCTTGATTTCCTTACTTGCCTCATTCACAGTTGCACTCTCCTGTCTTTGACCATAAACCAAATTTTATGGAATTAATCTAAGAGGTGTGACTGCCTTGTGCTTTTTATGAAATTACTGTCTCCACTCTCTTTCAAGCTGTTTCAAAAGTAAAGACTCCTCCTCTCTCTCGCTTGGTCTGCTTCACAGTGATTCTGACTGCTGCACAATCCTCCCATTCTACTTCACAGTAATGCTTACTTCCTGCAGATGCCTCCCAGTCTCTCCTAGTCACATTTTTAAGTCATTTTAGATAACAAGGTGTAGAGCTGGATGAACACAGCAGGCCAATTCCTGCTCCTATGATGCTGCTTGGCCTGCTGTGTTCATCCAGCTCTACATCTTGTTATCTCAGATTTTCCAGCATCTGCAGTTGCTACTATCTCTGATCCAATTTTAAGTCATTTTACCTGTTTTCTGGGAGATAGCATAATATTTCATGTTATTTTTAAGCATCTCCATATTATCCAATCTGATCACTCATGGATGAACTTTACAAGTTTCAATTTATTGTAAATTTTCCAATCATTCTGTCATTTTGATTTTGCTTTCTATTTCTTTTGCCGCTGTAAATATTCTTCTTCTGATTATCCTCCCTGGCATATTATCACTTTTGACATATTAACATGACACACTTGCTAATTTTTCCTTCCGTCTACAGCACGTATCCTTAATTCACGTAATTTAAATTATTTTTGATTTGCTAAAATCTGGTGAACCTTTCTTTTAATGGTACCGCAGAGCTAGGTAACAGTACTAATACTTTGACAAATTTTGGCTATTTTGCTTGCTGTAATTTTCATTGTTCATTGAGCAACTTCCA